TGGAAGAATTAGAATGAACATAAAAATTAGACAATATACCAATTGTGGTGGATGTATGTCTACAAATCCTTAAGTATTTAGTGTACAGTATATAATTTTTATTCCTTACTACTAGTCCAGTCAAGTAACAGAAAGCTCTTAGGTAATTTTATTGATAATGAACACCTGAACTGGATGAACCTGACAACTGTATTACAGATCTCAGTGCCCAGAGTTGCACAGAAAAGATTAGAAAAATCAAAGACATCCTGTTCTTATCTTGGTGTGCTACAACTTATACCAAATGTTCATTTTAGGTCTTTTGCATTTCCAAATAAACTTTACAATTATGTTGTCAATTCCCTCCAAAAAACATAAAACACTTATTGGGGATTATATTGGGAGTATATTGAATCTATATATTAATTTTGGGAGAATTGACATCTTTATAATATCAGGTCTCCACTCCATGTTCTGGGTACAGCCCTTCATTAACAGAGTTTCTTTAATTATTCTCAATACTATGTTATAGTTTGATGTGTAAAAATTTTAAACATTTTTGGTACTTACTCCTAGGCATTTGTTCTTCTTACACTACTTTGAACAGCATTTTTTCATGTATTTTTCACTTCGTATCCAGAAATACAATTGATTTGTGTATATTTACCTCACATCCAGCAATAACGCCTAACATTTATTTTTCTAATATTTAATCTGGTTTCTTTAGAATTTTATACATGTACAATCACATCTGTGGAAATGGCAGTTTTCTTTTTCCTTTTCAATCCTTTTACATGTTATATCTTTTTCTTATCTGACTGGACTGGCAAGGACTGCAAGTAAAAATGTTGAATAAAAATGATAATAGTACATCTTTTGATCCTCTTCTTGATCTCAAAGGGAAAGCTTCCATTCACCATTCCACCACTGAATTTATATAGATTTCTTTTATATATATTTATACATATGTATTTCATATGTATATCTACATAAAACACACACGAATACATACTCTTCATCAGATTAAGCAAGATTCCTAGGATAAGTTTGCTAAGAGGTTTTAAAATGAATGGATGTTGAATTTTACCAAATGATGTTCCTGCACTGATGGATATGGCCATATAATTTTTCTCTTTTATTCTGTGAATGTGATCAGTTGCACTGATTGATTTTTCAAAAGATAACTTGCATACCTGGAAAAAACCTAACTTGGAATGATTTAGTGTCCCTTTTAGGTTCAATTTGCTAATTGGATTCAGTTTGCTAATATTTTGCTTCGGATTTTTGCATCCATGTCCATAAAAGGTATTTCTTATCTTTGTCATGATGTCCTTGACGGGTTTTGCTTTCAAACTATACTTAGTGGCCTCAAAAAATTAGTCAGGGAGCGCCCCTTCTTTTTCTGTTTCCTGGATAAGCATGTATGAGATGTTTCTAATTCTTCTTAAATGTTTGGTTGAATTTGTTGGTGAAGCTATCTGGCTCAGGACTATTCTTCATGAAAATGATACTTTTATGGACTCCCCCTGGAAAAGAATAGAAACCCTAGGAATCTTCCACTGTCTAGGGACTTCTGAGGGGTAGATCTGAGAGAGAGAGAGGTGGTGGTATATGGCATTTCAAATTGCCTGACATTTTCCTAAAAGGACCTTGCCCTTGGTTCCCCCCGTCTCTCCATACTCGCCCTGAGTCAGCGGGTCTGTGGGATAACAGGTCTGCGATCATCAGTTTTCAGTCTGCCTGATCCCACCGTCCTGAAGACTCAGGGGCAGGTCTTTGAGAGGAGTTGGCCCTGGTGCTGGGCAGAGAGCAGTGTGGGGGAGAGGGGGCAGGGGCGGTTCAAGCAGACAGAGGCTCTTTGTTTGCTCTGCTGCTTTGTAAATGAGACAACATTTGCAAAGAACAAATATTGGTTCAGAGGACCAGTGCCTTCCTGCCCACCCCATTTAGGTCAGCTCCCCAACCCCCCTGCACGTACACACAAGCTCAGCTCTTTCTACAAGAGGGTCAATCCTGTTGAAATGTAAGAGTTTTATCCAGTTTATGGTGGAAGATTTGGGTCATGACTTGGATTGGTCCGTAACTGGAAGCTCTCTTAACTCCTCTCTCTCTCTCATCTTCCTCCCTCCCTTCTTCCCTTTCCTCCTCTTCTGGATAAATAAAGAGAAGATGACTATCAAGAAGGCTGCTGTGGTCTAAGGAAGGCTGGGATGTAGGAGATTTGAGTTCAGGTCCTGGAGTTCTGTGAATGAGGACCTGTCATTCTACGCTAGTGTCCACATCTGAAAAATGGGGGACTGATCTTATCTCCTAAGGTAGTTGGTCAAGATCACAAGATCTTGCCCCCGAACTGTGCCTGGTACATGGAAGAGCTGACAACGGGACACTTTCCTTCTGTCTGAGCACAACAAGCCAGTGTGTGCCTGTGGTTCGGCTATTGGAGGACAAGCCCCTCTGCAGACTGAAACTGGAGCTTTGTGGCTGTGGAGAAACGGCAGAGCTGGGAGTGCCCTGTCTGTTCCTCTCTCAGTGGACCACAGATGAGCCCCTTGGCCTCTGTGTGTCCCTGTTTCCTGGGAGAGGCAGTGTCCCTGGTGGATGAGTATGTTCACTCTGGAACCAGGCGGCCTGATTTTGCATCTGACTTGCCAGCTGACCTGGAACAAGTTATTAATCTCTCAGGGCTTCCATTTCCTCATGTCATCTGTAGAGTGGGAATTCTAATGCACTGATCTCAGAGGGCTGTGGTAAGCACCCAGTAAAGCTCCTAGTAAGTGCTAGCCACCATGAAGTTGTAAAAAGAGGGATGATGAGCTTCCTGACTCCAGAGCGTCTCTGGTGTAGAATTAAACACCATAAGGGAAAGCACAGGCGCAAGTGTCACAGGCGACCAAGGACACAAAACACTGTCATGGGAACCTCTCACTTCTACATACCCCTTTACACCTGACAGATGTAGGCACACCCATACAACCAGGGTGGTGCACACTTAACACCCCATAGCCAGCCTCACCCCTGCCTCCGAGGAATGGAGCAGCGACAGGAAGAAGGGCAGCAGTGGCCACTCTTTCCCACTGGTGAGGCAGCTGCTTGGATGGCAGGGCTCGTCTTAGGTCCCCACTGTCAGCAGGAAGTCCCTGCTACAGCAGTGCTCTCTACAGTGTGGTGAGACAATCCACTGGGGCGTGGGAGAATATAACCTTACTTCCAGTTATACTTATTCTTAATGCAAAGGACTAACAAATGATCACTCACCCCTCTTTCATATGAGGATTGGTACTGGTCTATAGGCCAGAGAGAGGGATGTCAGGTGGAGCCTTTGCAGTGTCCTGAAGGAAGGCGGGGAACCCGTCCCAGGGCGGGGTAGGGAGGGGGGTGCTGGAATGCTGTGATTCCCTGATCTGTCCTTTGCTTTTGGCTTGTGTGGTTCCACACGGTGGTTTGCACATGCCCAGTCAACTGGATGTACAGATTAGGTGATGCGGTTTAACTCACCAGACCTCATGAGATGCACAAGTGCCTTAAAAAGATGTCTGCAAAGAAACTGGAATTAGAGGATGATTCTGATAACACAAACACAAGTGAACAAAACTAAAATGGAAACACTGACTCATCTTCTAGGCCTGGTGTCAATTAGTGTAAACAGAGCCAAAGATAATGATCATCTGATCAGATTGGATAAGAAGTAACTTTTAGAAATGATGACTCTCTGGAATACGGATTTACACCTACCATCAGGAACCTTGACCTTTCCTTAGGTGTATATTTTGCCTAGAATATTATTCATTGTACATAAGGCAGCATAAACAGAAGGACATTTAAAAATGAGTATGTCATCTTTGATCCTTTTATAAATTTCTATTCATCCCACGAGTGAAATTTACACAATAGATTAGTGTACCACCTCCCTCTTTTTCCTGATAAGGATGTGCAATTGAAAGAGTTTGGAGGGGCCGGCCTGGTGGCACAGCAGTGTGCCCGTTCTGCTTCTTGGAGGCCCGGGGTTCACCGGTTCGGATCCCGGGTGCGGACATGGCACCGCTTGGCAAAAGCCATGCTGTGGTAGGCGTCCCACGTATAATGTAGAGGAAGATGGGCATGGATGTTAGCTCAGGGCCAGTCTCCCTCAGCAAAAAGAGGAGGATTGGCAGTAGTTAGCTCAGGGCTAATCTTCCTCAAAAAGAAAAAAAAAAGACAGTTTGGAGCCAGGGATGGTCCAGGGCACTGAGATCAGGCCACACCCTCCCTTGCGCCCCCTCTTCATGCTCACCATTGCACTTTGTTCTGAGTCTCAGATAGTCTTCACCACACTCCTGGGCAGCTTCTTGTGGGAGAGAATTTGCCTCTCCTGTGACTCTGTCCCTAGGCCAAGGTGTCTGGCAGGTTCCACGAAGGGAAGGAAAGTTTTCCATCCAGGAATCTTAGCTCAGCGGGGCACACGGCAGGAGAACAGTTCCTCAGTGGGGCCGGCCTTTAAGAGCCCAGGAGCAGGGGTTCTGGGGACACCTGGGAACAAGAGGAGGGTGTGAGCCTGCTCTCTGTGACTTGAGGCCAGCTCTAGTCTTTTCTGACACCCTTTCCCAGGATGGTCTTTCCTTGTCACACTCTCGTCCTACTCTGGATCTGGGGCAATTCCCTTCTGCCTTCCATCTGTGCAATGAGCACATAGGACTGGTACAGGACCAGCTCTGGCATCCGGATTCAGGAGCAGACCCACTCCCGCCCCTGCCCACTGTAGCCTCCCTCCTGGCACAGAGTGAGCAGCTTAACAAGGGGTTGATTTTTCTTTAATTCCCTTTCAATCAGCATTTTTGCGCTGGATTCCATCCACGGATCTGTCCCAGAGCCCAGAAAATGAGGTGATCAGCCTGGGCGAGGAATGAAGTGGGAGGGATGAAAGGCGATTGGGCAAGCGGGTAGCGCAAACACAGGAGGTCAAGGGTTGTGCTCTGCCCTCCGGGCCGAGGATAAAGGGGCGCGGGGCGTGGGGAGGCGGCACAGACGCCGATCAGTCTGTGCTCGCCGCTCCGCGCCGCAGACCAGGGAGGATGAGGCTCGCCATCCGCGCCCTGCTGGCCTGCGCGGTCCTGGGTGAGTGCCGGCGCGGGGAAGGCCCGCAGAGTCGCCGGCCCTGGCGCCCCTTGCACCCTGGACCCCGCCACACCACTCTCTGGGCTCCGCGCTCGGGCTGGCAGCCCGGGGCCCTCTCCTTCGCTCCTCCTCCCGGCACCCCTGCACCTCCTTCAGTACCGCCGCAGGGCCGGCACTGCGCCTGCGCGCACCTGCTGGTTCCGCTGGTGCCTCTGCCGCCTTTTCATGCTCTCCTTGCCTCCTCCTCGTTGTCCAGTAAATCTTGTAGTGGTGGAATACAGTAAAACAGAGCACTTTCTTCACGGTTTATCAGATCCCTTCGCTGTGGCCTCCTAGGCAAGTCCAAACTGCTTAGCGTAGCATTCAAGGCATCCCTGGATCTGACTCCGTGGGTCTGATGTCCCCCCTTGGCAATCTGGTGTCCGGTGGGTGCCCCCAGTGCTGATGTTGTCCTGATAATGAGCCAGGGCCCCCAGGAGTTCGGAACATGGGATTGGAAGCCAGACTTCTTGGTTCCTCACCAGTGAGAGAGGCGGCCCAGCGCCGGCCTGGGAGGGTCAGGTCAAGGTAGATGAGGCATGGATCCAGGCACCAGCAGTTGCCGGCACACATGCCTGCTGTGGGACCTGTCACTGCATGGCCTCTCCCACTTTCATCAACTTATGCCTGCCACTCATGGTGCATTTGTCACACCTTTGGAGACGTCCATGTTTAGTCATGTCTCTCCTGAAAAAGTTTACCCTTGAGAGTCGGCCCCTCATTATTTGCCTTAGTCCCCTCCCCCTCAGAGTGGCTCATAGGGCTGTGCAAGGTAAATGTGTGACGGAGGACAAATTCCTGCTCGTAGGACCTCAGGAGGGGCGGTTTGGGAAGGGTCTGCCACTGACTCCTCATGCCTCCTATGATGCTCCATGGGACAGGTGGGACAAAGGGTGGTTGGGGCAGTAAGTTCCCTGTGGCCCCTCCTTATGCATCCTGGAGAACTGTTGCCCTCCCATCTCCTGCTTTGTGCTTCGGATATGCATCACCTTTCCTCAGTCAGCCCTGTGCTGTGGATCCTCAGAGGGTGGAGATGACAGAGGGCTTTGGGGACAGTGCCAGTGCTCACATGATGGGGACAACATGTCTGCAACCATAGGGGTTTTAATAGCTACAGACATGGCTGGCTTTAGCTTTCTTCTAATGGCAGCCAAGAAGACTGGTGAAAATTGAGGAAGGGGTCACTGGAAACAGAGAGAACCACTGAATATGTGGAGTTTCTAGTTATTCCTGCATCAGAGGATGGCAGATGAGTGTCACAGGCAAATTCATTATCTCATCAATCATTTACCCCTGTTTACTGGCCAAGCAGAGGGAAGATAACTCAGAATGATACCTTCTTTTCTTCCCTGGGCAGAGACCAACATCTGGAGGCCTGATTTCAAGGCCAGTCTTGACCACTGACAGGCTGGGTGACTTTGGGTAAAGCAACACTCTCTGAGCACAGTTGCCCTATTTCTTAAAAATGGTTGTTCCTACCCTGCTGACTTCCCAGAGTTTTGGTATTGAGCCAATGTCTTGAAGTGGCAAAAAATGCCCTGTCCACACTGATAAGGCTTATGTCACATGGCAGTCCCATGATGATGAGCAAAGAAAGCACAGAGAACACAGAGGAGCAGACTGTGGTCTCCATTTGCAAGCTGATGGTTAAGGTGGCATCCCTCTGGCCAACACAGGGTGGTCAGCAGAAAACTGGGAGGCCATTAGGGTTCCCTTCTTTTGTCCCCAGCCTCAGAATGTAGTGGAACCTGTGCCCTGTGGTGTTCATGGACAGGAGTGGGAGGAAAACAGGACAGAAGGAATGTAGCCTTCAAGACTCTTCAGAGGGGGCTGCTGTCTCTCCCACTGGCACAGGGACCTCTGGCCTCTCTCCCATAGGGCTGTGTCTGGCGGAGCAAACTGTGAGATGGTGCACCGTCTCAAATCATGAGGTCAGTAAGTGCGCCAGTTTCCGCGACAGTATGAAAAGCATTGTTCCTGCTCCTCCTCTTGTCGCCTGTGTGAAGAGAACCTCCTACCTGGAGTGCATCAAGGCCATTGCGGTAAGTCGCTGCTGCCTAAAGGAGAGTGGAAGAAAACCGGTACTTTCTCTTTCTTCTGTTGTTTTGGAACAATTCTTTACTCACAGGTAGGAGGCTGATGTGTGGGGCAGTCAGCCCTCAATGCTAATAAACCTACTTCAGAAATGGAAATTGCTGTGGTCATTTTAACGAGTCTTAAAGCAAAATCCAGCAGGCTCTGAAAGGGAACTATTTTGAGGCCCTAAGTTCTCTGAACTCAAGGGAAAAAACAGGAATGTTTGCTATCAAAATTATCATGTAACATGGTTTTGGAAGTTCTTGATACATCATGGGAAGTAGATGGATGATGCTCCCAGGGAAGAGGAATATGGTATCATTGCAGGTGATGGCTGATCCCTTTGTTTTGTAGATCTTCCAAAATACTCCTCACTCCTTCCACACTGTTCCTGCACATCTGAACATGGGTCAGACCCTGTGCTTGGCAATGGGGCTGCAGTGGTGAATTTAAATACACATGGTCCTTACTCTTGAGGAGCTTACAGTTTAGTAAGGAGAGAAGAAAAACATGCAAACAAGTAAACATGTAATTTCAAATTGTGTGATGTACAATGAAGGGAAAGAGTAGAATGCTCTGACAGAGACTTTCAGAGGAAACTTGCTTTGGCCTGGGTGTAACCGTCTCCCTGAGAGGGAAGCAATGAAACTGAGACCGCAGGGATGAGTGTGGCTAAGCCTGCCAAGAGCCATGGGTAGAATACGCCAGGCAGTGAACAAGGGCATGTGCAAAGGGCCTGAGACGGGGGAGAGCTGGGCTTTTTTGAGTTGCTGTAGGGAAGCCAGGGTGACAGGAGCAGAGCAAGCAGGAGGCTGGCAGGAGCGATGAGGTGGGAGAGGTAGACTCAGCCAGATGGAGCAGGATTAACTTGAAAAATCAGTGATTTGGTATAAACAACTGGTTTGGGGGGGGGGGTGTGTGTGCGTTTTAATTGGACCTCAGTTACTATCATGGCTTAATAATAACTCTGGAATGATGACATACATTCAGCTTTGGTCCATGCATGCCCCTCTTTATTTTTGAAAATGTTAATAATATAAAATAATACCATCCATGAACCCACCACAGGTTCTCAAAGCTTCATCATTGCCAGGAGCTTACTTCCAGGCCTACTGTTCAGCAGCACTGGATTCTGTGGGAATGGTGCCACTTGGAGGGCCATAACCCACTGGCCCCACGTACGACTACCTATGTGTTTCCCCACCCTGAGCAAACAGAATCCTAAAACTTTCTTGCTTTTTATTCTAGTTTTAAGACTTATATAGTTTTGCTTCTTAAAAAATTTTATAAATATCACATTACTGTGTGCTGTCTTCTCACACTTGCTTTTTCCTCCTCAATATGATGCTAAGATTCACCCATGCTGTTGAATATCGCTATTGTTCCTTCACTTTCACAGCTCGACAATAGTCCGTTATGTTAGTGTACCACAATTTATTTTTTCTTTTCTGGTCATTAGGCATTTGAATTGTTTCCAATTTTTTGTTATTCTAATCAGGGTTTGAGGAATATTTTTATACAAATCTCCTGAGACACAGTATGAATAGTTTCTTCTGAATATATACGTAGTAGTAGACTTGCTGTGTCATGGGATATGTGAGTATTTGATTTTTAAGACAATGCCAAGTGCCTTTGATTTTTAAGCAAATTCAATGTGGTTCTGTCAATTTCCACTCCCAGCAGCAGTGTATGAGAGAATAACCATATCATTCTTGGTGAAGTTGATATTTTGCGATTATGAAATAATCGCTATCTCTGGCAGTGCTTTTTGACTAAACTCTGTTTTTCTGATATTAGAATACTACATCAACTTTCTTTTGGTTAGTATTCCCCTCCTCTATCTTTTTCCATTCCTTTATTTTCAACTTTCTGTGTGCTTATGCTTTAAGTGTGTCTTTTGAAAACTGTATATTGCTAGATTTTGTTTATTAACGCAATCTGACAATCTTATTTATTTTATGTGGTAAATTTAGAGCTTTAATAATTATTGTTTTTATTGATAAATTCGGACTTATTTCTGCCATATGACTTTTTGATTTCTCTTAGTCCTGCTTTCCCTCTGATTTCTGATTTTTAAAAATTGAGTTTGTACATGTGTGTGTTCACTTGCATTGTTTTCTCTTTGTTCCACTCCCCCCGCACTAGTAGTGAATTTAAACTCTTTATTTAAATTCTTTAATGATTTCCCATTAATTTTTTTTTTTTAAAGATTTTATTTTTTCCTTTTTTCTCCCCAAAGCCCCCCGGTACATAGTTGTGTATTCTTCGTTGTGGGTTCTTCTAGTTGTGGCATGTGGGACGCTGCCTCAGCGTGGTCTGATGAGCAGTGCCATGTCCGCGCCCAGGATTCGAACCAACGAAACACTGGGCCGCCTGCAGCGGAGCGCGCGAACTTAACCACTCGGCCACAGGGCTAGCCCCAATTTCCCATTAATTTTTACTGTATACTTTTAGCTTACCAAAGTGTTACAGTAAAAGAATCCTGACTTTTCTTCCCAAACAATAAAAGGACTCCAGAATACAGTGGCTCAGATTTCCCTCTTCCCTCTTTAGATATTACTATTTAATATTTTATATCTATCATTTTTAACCCCACATGTAAATACTTCACGTATTTGTAGGCACTATATGTAAATATATTTGTGTCTGTGTTTGTATGTGTGTGTCTGTGCATGTGTTTATGTCTGTGTGTGTGTGTATACACACCCAGAAATTCAGAAAGAGGGAGAGAGAGAGAATATTTGGATTTACCTACATTTTGCCCTTTGATTTGTTCACCGTTCCTTCTCATGTTTCAGACCATCCTTCTGGGAGATGTTTCCTTCTTGAAATATGGTCTTTTGGCGACCCTTTAGAGTCAATCTCTTTGTGTTAAACTCTCTCAGTTGCTTGCTTGTTTGTTTTCTCTGAAACTGCTTTAATCTCCCCCTTATTTTTAAATGGTAATTTTGCTTAATGTATAATTCCAGTATGACATTTTCACAGTTTTAAGATATTATTCCACTGTCTCCTGACTTCCATGGTAGTTTTGAGAAGTCTGGTGTTATCCTGTCATTCTTTCAATCATCTTTTCCCTGGATAATTTTGAGATTTCATTTCCTTGATCTGTGGTGTTCCACAGATTCACTATAATATTTGCAGTTGTGGAAATCTTGGTACCTATCCTGCTTAGGGAATACTGGATCTGTGGAATCATGTTTTTCATCAGTTCTGGAAAATTTGCAGCCATTGTCTCTTTAAATACTGCCTTGTCTTCAATCTTGCCTTTTTTTTTTTTTTTTTTTAATTCTAGCATTCCAAGAAGACACCTGTTAGGCCTTCTTTAATCTAGCCTTCATTATCTTTTAATCCTTCTTTCATAATTTCCATCATCCGCACTTCTTTTTAGCAGCATCCAGGAAAAATTCTTCAGCTATAGCTTCCAGTTCATTAATTCTCACTTTAACCATGTCTAATAACTTGTTGCTCATTCATTCATTTTTTTATTTCATTATATTTTTTGTTTCTAGAAGCACTAGTTTAAATAATTTTTCTTTTTATTCCTGATAACTTCCTTTTCTATGCTTATCTATGTGGTTGTAACCTTCACTTTGTACGTAAAACTAAATACCTCATTGGTAGCTCTTCTCCTCGCATCCGACAGTTCCAAGCTCCACCACCCTCGAGGGCCCAAGCCTGTTGCTCCTGTTGATGCCCACACATTGCAGCTCACCTTCTTCTGAGTTTGGTTATCTGCACCTGTGAGGTCACGCTTGATTTTCTTCTTCCCCCTCCCTGCTGGTTCAGGTTCCTCTCAGAACCCCTGCTGCTCTAATGGATCCCATGAGTCAGGCCTTGGCTCCTGGGTTCCTGAACCCCTGAGGTTCCAGTGATTCCTGTTCAGGATCCTGGTGTCTTGGCCAAGAAAGTCCCAACCTCACTGCTCTGGGAAAAGCTCTTGTTGGTTTGCTCATTTATTTGTATTCTGTGCTGTGTGGGGTGGGTGGCATGAGTCTCTGGAGGTTACACCCACCTTTTGTGATACCAAGAAAGCCACAAAGATTTTTTCATATCTTGTATGTAATTGTGGGAGAGAAGGGTCCTTTACCAATGCGAATGTATTTAATGGCACTAAAATGTACCCTTAAAAATGGTTAAACAGTAAATTTTATCTTATGTATTTTATTACAATAAAACAACAACAAAAACGAGCCCAACCTTTAAAAGAAAAGTTTCAGCTAGACAAACATATACTTTGGCTTTTATTAATATTATATTTCATTTGGAAATACTATTGTCTCTTTTTTCTTCTTTTTTTAAATTTATTTTTTTATTGAGGCAACATTGGTTTACAACATTATATAAATTTCAGGTATACATCAAGAAATACTATTGTCTTATTACTTACCTATAACATGACACATGATGGAGCTTTGTTTCCTGCCTTGTAATTTAACCAGTAAGAACTATTCATAGGGTACTGGCAAAGGCTTCTAGAAAAATCATTTGATTAACGATATTTGAAGCAAGAAAAGAAGGCAATAAAAATATGTTATTAAGTATATATACAAAAGACAGTGCTTCTCACTTTAAGAGAAAATAAATTCTAGACCTGGTGGGAAGGCACCTATAATATTTCAAGGAACTGTTGGTTTAAAGATGAGAGTTAGTAGAAGCAGAAATTAAAAAAATTAAAAAGCAGCAAGTAACAGTGTAATGGAATAAACTCGGACTACCTAGATTCAAATTCCAGCTCTGTGACTTACTAGCTATGTGGCCTGGGGAAGTGACAAACTTTCTGTGCCTCTGTTTTTTAATCTTTAAAATGGAGCTGAGTTGAACAGTGGTGACCTGTGATGTGTCTGAATAGTCTATTAAATGAACAATGAGCCATAAGAGAAGTAATAATCAGCATTCAACCATTAGTTCATAGTATAAGCAAGAAGATAAACCCAGAGAAAGTGCTGAATCCTTGAAGAAAAGACTCCTGCAGTTGTTGGGACCCAGGAAAGGAAGGAAAAGAACTGAGTACTGAATCAGAGTGGAGACAAGTGTCTTCAAGGCTCCCCTCACCGATGAGGAGGGCTTCACAGAGTGCCTGAGGAGGACCTCAGCAGAAGGCCCAAGATAAAGAGGGAAGCAACTGAGCTCACATTGTAAACATGTGTATGAGCACGGCCTGGCAGGCGGCCCCGAGTCCTTGACTGCAACCCCCTTCAGAGCCTGTAGTGCGTGAGCTGTGCACCCCGTCTGGTGCTGGGAGAGCAGCTTTCCCCCATGAGGCCTGCCAGGTAAAGCCTCTGTAATTCAGGTGGATCTTGAAAGATCACGCATAGGTGTCTGGGCCAAGAGCCAGATTCCTCACCAGGGAGAAGAGACAAATGATACATTCCTTCCTCTATGTGGGAGGAATAGGAATATGGCGGCCAAATCCCCTCACCACAGAGGCAGAGTCAACCGAAGCCCATGGTGCGGTGCACGGTCTGGCGAAGCTGCGGGTTCCTCTGGCCCCAGATCCAAGAAGCTCCGCCAGTCACCCCTACTTGCCCCGGTTTAGGTGGGCCTTCCTTGGAAGTGAGGGCTTCATCCAGGTCTGGTCTGTTCGCTTTCAGGATAACGAAGCGGATGCTGTGACGTTGGATGCAGGTTTGGTGTTCGAAGCTGGCCTCTCCCCCTACAACCTGAAGCCTGTAGTGGCAGAGTTCTATGGGTCCAAAACTGGTAAGTTCTCCCTGGGGATCCAGGAAGGAGTTTGTGGCCCTTGTTCTCTCCTGGTAGACGCTGAGTCTTGTCTTGTTCAGGCAGGTAATGGAGATTAGATAGTGAGGAACATTCCCCATTGGGGAGAGAGTAGGGAATGAGGGCCCCTGTCAGCCCCCGCAGTACAACTCAAGGCCTCTGGGACTTTGGGCTGGTTGAGGACTGGTGCTCTGGACACTGACCTCCTGAGACAGGAAATATGCTCCATGGAGAAACAGTGCAGGCTGTTTGCACCCTGACCCAATTACTGTGGTTTAGAGCTATATAGAGGAGTCCTTCAGATGATAGGTGCCACACACAGGGGAGAGACCACACAGAAAAACACACTCAGAGCCTCGACAGCCCTGCCTCTCTCCCGAGAGCAACTTGACTGTCCCTGGGCCTATTTCAGGGGACAGGAAATACTTAGAGGGAGTTAGCAATGTGGCCTCTGTGCCACAACCCCAGTTTCTTGGTGGGCTTGGGTTGGTAAGTGTGGGCCGACACCCTGCAGGGCCAGAATAGGTGAGCGCATTTGGGGCACATGTGCATGTGGCTTTCTTGCCCCTGTATTTGCCTGGAGGGTTATTACAAATGTCCCCCTCTTGTCCTTTCTTTTCCCTGTAAGCCTAGGAAGGTTTTTCTGATCCCTCCCTCTTTACAACCCAATGTAAGTGTGGCCTGGGAGTTACCCTTCCCTACTCAGGAGCCCAGTAGTGATCAGCAGTGTTCCCCTGTGGCCCAGGTTGAGGGTCTTTCATTCCTGCTATCCCTTTGCAGAGCCACAAACCCACTATTATGCTGTGGCCGTGGTGAAGAAGAACAGCAATTTCCAGCTGAACCAGCTCCAAGGCAAGAAGTCCTGCCACACGGGCCTTGGCAGGTCTGCTGGGTGGAACATCCCCATTGGCTTACTTTATTGGCAATTGCCTGAGCCACGTGAATCTCTTCAGAAAGGTAAGCAGGGAGGAGGGTGAGTGCCCTTGGGCAGGCATCTCTTCTTCAGATGCCCCCACAGGCCATACTGGGGTCACTCAGACACCATCAGGAGATCATGTATGATGACTCTGGGGGTGGAAGTGGGAAGTAAACCAGCTTTAAATGGGCAGGTCTATTGCACCAGCAGCCCTTGGGGGGTGTCAGCTGAATCTTTTCTTCTCTGAGCTCCCAACACCCCACCAGGGGCTGTCCTGAGCAGTGGGAGGAAGGGGATGAAGCTTGACAGAGGGCTTCAGTCAGGGCCAAGGTTGCTGGGCCCTGTTGTCTGCTTCTCCAGGGTGCTTTCCTGTCTGTGGCCCAGTGTGTCTCATTCTCCTAGAGGGTTTTCTGGTGGACATCTGCTGGCCATGAGCTTGGCCTGCACCTCTCCAGGACACAGCTCCCAGAGACCTCTCTTTGAGCTGTTTCAGTCTGACAAGGCAGCAAAAGGGGCTGACAGCGACCTAGGACAGGTCTTGGTTGGTGGCAGGCACAGGCCTGGTTCTTAGGGAGGAAGGTAGGATGACAAGGGTTAACTTTCCCGTTTTGGAAATGCTTGGTCTTGAAGAAGGAGCACACAAAAGGGCAAGCTGGGACTGGGTGTACTGATTTTGGTTTGCTCACTGTCTGTTGCTGAATGAGCCTGGGCTGGAGCTGTAATTGCACCTGGCCAGGCTGCTCACACCATGTGCTCCATGTCTCTGTGTTGAGCAGCAGTGTCCAATTTCTTCGCGGGCAGCTGCGTACCCTGTGCAGATCGGACAGCTGTCCCCAACCTGTGTCAACTGTGTGTGGGGAAAGGGACAGACAAGTGTGCCTGCTCCAACCACGAACCATACTTTGGCTACTCAGGTGCCTTCAAGTGAGTGAGACCGACTGCTGCTCCACGGTCACCAAAATACCCAATGTCCTTAGGTTGGGAGACCCTCCCTGGCCCATGGCAGAGCCCAGCCTGCAACAGGGGCATCCAGGAAGACTAATCCTCTCCCAGTGACTCAGCGATCAGCTGGGACTCCCCAGGCCAGGCTAGCATATGCTCCCTTCATGTGACACTGACAAGGAAGGCCCTCTCGGAGGACGCCTTCTGTTTCCCCACAGCCCTCAAACCTGGCCAGTATGTCCTCTCATTGGCCTAGGCAGAACCTGAGGGAACAGCCATGTCCCTAGTGTCTGGGCCATTCTTCAGTGAGTGACCCTCTGCTTTTTGTTGTAGCAGTGTCCTCTGCTCAATGCACTGGCCTCTCTATTGCCTCCCCTCACTACTCCTGTGCAGACAGCTCATGTGGCTGATTTCTTGCTCCCTCTTTTCCCTTGGTTATATCCTTGAGGTTTATAGCCAGCCAAGGGTCCTCCTTCCTCAGGTGACACTATTCCTTTATTCTCCATTTCAGAAGTTTGAAAACTCTTTTCTGAATTAAAATATCTTCAGTGCTTTTTTGCTGCTTTGGGGCACATGGTGAGGAACCTCCAGCTCCTGTGGGCTCATCCCCCATCTCAGTGGTACCCTGGATATCAGCGCCCCATGGTGCTGTCTCAGCTGTGGGTCCCAAGGCTGGACAGTGTGATCAGACCTTCAAGCCTGAGGAGACGGGCCTGCCCTGCAGGAACCCTCCTCAAGTGTCTTTACCCCACAGGTGCCTGGCGGATGGCGCTGGGGACGTGGCCTTTGTCAAGCATTCAACAGTATTGGGTGAGTGACAGAAGAATTTGCAGATCCCCTACCAATCAGTGGGCCGTCTTTTTTCTTTTTTTTTTAAAGATTTAATTTTTTTCCTTTTTCTCCCCAAAGCCCTCCAGTACATAGTTGTATATTCTTCCTTGTGGGTCCTTCTAGTTGTGGCATGTGGGATGCTGCCTCAGCGTGGTTTGATGAGCAGTGCCTGTCTGCGCCCAGGATTCGAACCAATGAAACACTGGGCCGCTTGCAGCAGAGCACACAAACTTAACCACTCGGCCACGGGGCCAGCCCCTCTTCTTTTTTCTCTTGTCCCCTTTTTCATGCTCAAGAGTCAGACATGAGCATAGTGTGTTCCTCCTTTATCATTACTTGGGTTTCCACCTGTGCAGAGCTGTGAGGCTGTGCGGTCCCCATCTGGATTCCTGGGCCTCTTTCCATCATTCAACCTCCTGAACACAGGGACCCTTCCTCCTGGTCAGTGTTGCCACAGCAAAGGATTGGGGGCAAGTCTGGCCAACCCTGGCCTGAAGTCGGCCTACTGAGATGAGACCTACTGTGGGGTGTGGGGCGGTCACACCTGCATTGGGCATCAGATACTTCTTTGCTTGTAACTGGCTGTGGGATCTTGAACAAGTCAGTTTCCTTATGTTCTCTGGCCTCAGTGATTGCCCCAAGCCTCTCAGCTCATACATTTCGTGATGCAGTGGGATTACAAGGGCAGGGGAAGGGGCACCCCACCTCATGGCTCTGCCTGCCGTCGGCTTATCTGGGCTTTCCTCCCCCAGAGAACCTGCCACAAGAGGCTGACAGAGACGAGTATCAGCTGCTCTGCAGGGACAACACCCGGAAGTCAGTGGATGAATACAAGGACTGCTACCTGGCCAGCATCCCTTCCCATGCCGTTGTGGCCCGAAGTGTGGACGGCAAGGAGGACTTGATCTGGGGGCTTCTCAACCAGGCCCAGGTACTGAATCCACCATCCTCCCTCCTGTTTGGATTTGGGACATTTTCCTTCATTCCCTTCTTGCCACTGTAGAAGTCCTTCTGTTTTCAGGACACAGTGGGAACCATGCCACACATCATCCACTTGTCTAAAAGCGCCCAGCAGGGATTACTCTCAGAGTCACACAGAGCCTGGTCCTGCATTATCATGTGCCAGACCCTTTCATTCTGGACCAGTGACATGAAGATGGCTCCTTATTGTTCTATTCCATTTCTTTCCATATAAACCAGGCCTTCTAGGCCAAGGGCAAACACTTCCTCCCCCATGAGGCCTTCCATCACCTCCCCAGAAGGAAATGATCTCTCTCCTGATGTCCCTCAGCCTGACAGCAAAGGCATGCACAGTCAGTTTTACTTCCTAGAGTAGGGGGATTCCAGAACTGACCCAACTTTCTCTTGTACAGCCCTCCCATCTGTCCATCAAGAGTTTAAGTGGCAATCACACAGTGTCAGCTTCTGAAGGAGATGCATTTCTTGCACTCAGTGAGCTGTCGACCCAGCCAGGGAGACAGGCACAGAACCACGTTCAGGGAAATGGTGTGGTGTGGCCCCAAGAGGGTTGTGAGTGGAGAAGGTACTTGGTGGAAAGAGCAGGCCTGACTGCCCTCTCTCCTGGCATCTTGAAAATTCCGTGGTCTTAATTCAGTTTTCTGGGAATATTGTTTTTCTTCAGTCCCACTTTGCAGCCTGCCTTGTTGCTATAGCCATTCACTGTTGTGTTTTACTATAAACAGGAACATTTTGGCACAGAAAAATCTAAAGACTTCCATCTCTTCAGCTCCCCTCATGGGAAGGACCTGCTGTTTAAGGACTCTGCCCTTGGCTTTTTAAGGATTCCCCCTGCGATGGACACCTGGCTGTACCTGGGATATGAGTATGTCACTGCTATTCGGAATCTAAGGGAAGATATACGTAAGTACTTGAGGAGGATCATGTCACCCTAGGAGCTTGGAAACCTGGTGAGGGTGGGGACCAGTGATAGACTCTTTCCAGGTACCGAACGCCTGCCCTGATATTCCTTTATCTGCCCTGCCTGTGCCGCCCAGTGTTAGATGGATGCTAAATGACATCAGTCATCATGAGGTGGGCCTGGACATCCCCAAAGGGCATTAAGGGAAATTCCTGCTTAAGATGACTTGGATTGATATCAGCATCATTTCCCTTATATGAGTCAGGGCCGCCCTGCCCACTTTGTGAAGCCAATTAGCCTGGTGCAAAGTAAGTCAAATAGAATGAAACTGCTACAAACTTGCACATCTGCAGCCAATACTATGGTCAACATGTGCCAGAGTGAAGCTGGAGCTCTAGACACATCAATCCTGGTCCTGAATTTCACTGGGGATGTGTCTGATCATTCATTCATTCAACAGATATTTATGGACCATCTATACATAAACTGTGCTAGGTGTTGGGCATATACACACATATCAGCTTCTGCTGTCATGGAACTTTCTCACTAGTGGAGAAGACAAATGTTCAATGAATAGTCACTGTTGAAAGACCAATTAAAAATGAGAGATCTGCTCAGAAGAAGGAAAAAAAAAAAACAGAACAAAATATCATAGTTCTACGAAACCATAAAAACAAAGGAAAACAGGTCTTGGAGTTGAGAGAAGGCTTCCCTGGGGAAGTTATTCTTGAACAGTGTCCATTTATTCAGCAGACATTATTGCGCTGACCATGAGCCAGGTGCTGCCCTGAACAATGAGGGTGCTGTGGAGAACAAGACAGGCGTGGCCCTTGCCTTGGCCAGGCTTCTGTTCTCCTGAAGAGAACAGACAAGGAACAATGAACAATAAACAAATAAATAACAACAGCTCAGGTACTTAAGTACTATTTCAAAAAGAAGAGGAAAAATCTAATCTGAAGTGATAAAGTGCCCAGGGGTCAGGAGGAGGGTTGGCTTCTCAGAAGAAATAACTTTAAGCTAAATCTAAATGATAAGAAGTCAAGCAAGAGATTGTTATTATCTTTGCTTTCTAAGAGCTTAATTCCTTGAATGGACCTGTTGGTGTATTGCTGACAAATTCCAGCATTTGCCTGAAGACAGTAACCTTCATAACTGGCGGGCAACTTCTGGGCCCTCTTCTTATTTCTGCTTCCTTTTCTTATGCCCTAGGCCCAGAAGTCCCAAAGGACGAATGCAAGAAGGTGAAGTGGTGTGCAATAGGCCACCATGAGAAGGTCAAGTGTGACGAGTGGAGTGTAAACAGTGGAGGGAACATAGAGTGTGAGTCAGCACAGTCCACTGAAGACTGCATTGCCAAGATTGTGGTACGTCACTCCTGCCTCCGTAGGGCAGCATCCCTTCCACTGCTGCCTGCCTGGGCCAAGGGCTGAGTGAGCGTTCCTGGGAATGATGTGAGCCCTGGGTTCCCAGGAACCCTGCCCTCACTGTGAGAGTCCAGCCGCACAGGAGCTTCAGATCTTTTGAGCTCATGGATCTGAAGGGCTCCTTGGGGCTCCATTTCCTTCTCGTGTTACCATCCAGTAGAGGGCCGTCTAAGCAGTGTCTGCTTAGCGGAGGCGGGCCCGCGGTGTGGGCGTGCCTGAGACCCACAGTGTGCTGTGACCAGTGCGATAAGGCCGTGTGGCTTGTGCAAGCAGGTGGAAGTTTAGCTTTCTTGATCACAAGAGCATTCCGTGTTTGCTTTTAGAAAAGAAAATAAGATGTAGTTGTAATCTTCTGACACAGAGAAAATCTTGTTAATTGGGATCATATCATATACACAATTTACTAACCTTTTTTCACTTGATATCTAGTGAGCTTTTCCCATGTCACAAGTCATTTTTAGAAACCATGATTAAAAATGTTGTAATCTATTTTTCTTTTTTGAGGAAGATTAGCCCTGAGCTAACTACTGCCAATCCTCCTCTTTTTGCTGAGGAAGACTGGCTCTGAGCTAACATCCATGCCCATCTTCCTCTACTTTACACATGGGACGGCTACCACAGCATGGCTTTTGCCAAGCGGTGCCATGTCTGCACCCGGGATCCAAACTGGCGAACCCTGGGCTGCTGAGAAGCGGAACGTGTGCACTTAACCGCTGTGCCACTAGGCTGGCCCCTGTAATCTATTTCATAGTTGTGGATGTGATGCAATTTATTTAGCCTTGTATCAATATTATCCATAACACCATTTAGTCTGTTTCTATCCTTTTGTTATTATGAATCATACTTGCATGTTTTTACTCACTTACACATTTTACCTGAATAGTGTCCCATATATCTGATTATTCCTTTAGGGTGTAATCCTGGAAAGTATATTGCCAGGCCCAATGGAAAACTTGGCAATCTTTTTGAATTTAAGCATTTTTGTAATTCAGGGCTCATTAAATCTGAGAATGAGGTCATTTGAGTATATTTTACTCATTCATTAAACATCTCATCTGCATCAAGCACTGAATAGCACTTAGCCAATGTGGCCAAGATTTGGGGCTGGAGCTTCCATCAGGAGGCGCTCTAGCCCTCAGACACAGCCTTGAATCCTTGACTCCACTTGTCTGTCTTACAAATGAGAATTCTTGGTGTCAGAAAAGTGTCGTGGGAGTGTCTCTGGGACAGTGTGTCCTATAAGAGGACATGAGGACTGAATGTGGGTCTTTCTTCCTGATGAAACGAAGCAAGGCACCCAGAGTTGATCATCAGCTGATGATGGTTTGGGTGAAAATGAGAGCACCTTTTGTTGTCTATGCTGGGTGCACCTGACTGATCCTTTAGGGGTCCAGAATTAGCACCTGCTGTCTCCTGGGGCCTTCATGACCTGTGCTGGGAAGGCTGCTTCAAGGAAACGGCTGGAAGGGCAGGTGGGACAGGAGGTGGCCTCTCTTCATCTGCTTGATGTGCTGTGTCTTTGCAGAAAGGAGAAGCTGATGCCATGAGTTTGGATGGAGGTTTCATCTACATAGCGGGCAAGTGTGGTCTGGTGCCTGTCCTGGCAGAGAACTATGGTAAGTGGAGGGGGTACCTCTCAGTATTTTATTTCCTCTGGGCCATGGAGAGAGGAGATGGGAAAATCACAGCCTAATTCATACCACATGGGCCAAAAAAGTCTTGCTTACTGAGTACCTCCTACTTCTCAGGCTCAGACCCCCCTCATCCCTAATTCCCACAGTTATCTTGAAGGACGGGACCTTCTATCATACCTTCCACCAGGGGAATTAGAGGGTTTGCACTGGGAAGTTCCGGCTAAAAGTGACTCGGCTGCAAAGGACAGCTGGGATTCCTGGCAGGTCTTCTTGCGTCCAAAACTCACACTTCTCCTATTGGCCTGGTACAGGGATTCAGGTAGAGTGGTCACAGGACAGACAGAGTAGGAAACTTGAAATTCCTGATTTTTGGCTAAATTCCAGAGGCCAGTGAGCTAAAGTGAATTTGCATAATCCAGGGAACCTGGACTTTTTGGGAATTGGTGATATGTAGATAGTTTTCCTGGCTCTTTTTATTCTGAGCTACAATATAGGAAAGGCATGATTTCCAATGTATAAATGTTTACTGACTTCTTGATATTTTTCTTCTCCAGAAACTAGGCCTGGCTCTGCATGTGTGGACACACCAGAGGAAGGTGAGTTGGGATTGGTAACCTCATGAGTTAAAAGGTAAGTTCCCATTTTGGGGGAGAAAGGGTAACGTAAGTATAAAATTCAAATCACTAGTAGAAAGGGCAATAGAAGACACCAATTTTTGAATGCAAAAGAATCATGGAAGGATAGTGTTGGATAATGATGGTTATTCCAATTTACTTGGCATGACTTAGAGACAGGATATCTCATTTAATCCTATTAGGTAGATATTGTTATCCTCTATGGCTATAATGGCTCAGAGAGTTTACAAGCTGCCTAGGCTCCTATATCCAGTAAGCAAATCCACACCCTTCCCACTATTCCTGACTGCCTCGCACTACATGAGGCCGGCACACTTTTAGATGAGGGTTAGCCCAGTCGAGGAGCCTTGCATATATGTGCCTGGCAGGGCTGAGGAGAGAGGCTCACACAGGCAGATGTCTAGGAGCATGAAATTACCCAGCTACGGCTGGGCTCAGGAACCCAGGCCAACCTGGCTCTCACCCAGGGCTCTTGCTGGGGGTGGATCTGGAAAGATGGGGCAGGAGCAAAACAGGAAATCTTACCAAGGTGAGCACTAGGCCCCAGAGCCTCTATGCTCAGACCCTGCAGCCATTAGTGTGCAAGTCTGTCCTTGTCACTTCTCCCAGTTACAACCTCCCAGCCTCTCCCCATCACCCTAAGAGCCATGCTCGTTAGCTGAAAATAGACTCATTCTTATTCCATGGACAATAAGACATATCTATGTTCTGTTGGAAACCATTTCCTGAATTAATAACGTTGGAAAACTGAAATCATGGGTTGATGTTCTATTCCCAGTTTTAAAGACCAGCATGTATTCTCTGCTAAAGACGGCAGCTGTCTTGGTTTTGACTGTTTCCACTTTGCATACTTATTTTGATGCAAACCTGTATTCTCCTTATCAGAAAATATCTGACCAGAATATTCCTTGCAGTATATTGGTCATTTCCTACTCTTTCCTAATAATTGTTAATGTATAAAATGTTGGAGTTACATGTACTCTTCAGTATCCATTACTCTGATATTCCACAGTGGAGGGTGAGTTACTGGTTTATAACTTCAGGAGCTTTATGCGTTTGGAGAAGAGTTACACACCAGCCATTGCTCTGATGATAATGTATTCTTACTATTTTGTTTTTTGAGTTCAGATTAATCTCCACTGGACAGAGTGACTTATACTTCACTTCAGTCAGTTATTGGGAAGACACTTTCAAAGAGAGAAGGAGTGATTCAGGATAATTTTGCTTCCATAGAGAGATGGCAGGCTTTGATTGTAAATAGACATTCTGGAAGGCCTGCAGGTGTTAATGCTTCCTTTTTTGGTGTCTTTCTTTTAGGGTATCATGCTGTGGCCGTGGTTAAGTCCTCATCAGATCCTGACCTCACCTGGAACTCTCTGAAAGGCAAGAAGTCCTGTCACACTGGAGTAGATAGAACCGCCGGCTGGAACATCCCCATGGGCCTGCTCTATAGCGAGATCAAGCACTGTGAATTCGGTGAGTGAATCCTGGGAGCATGCTGTGGTCAGTGCCAGGCTGGAAAGAGGTGTACTGGGGAGAGAGTGGTATGGTGAAAACGGCTGTGGCCTTGGGTCTACAGTAGTACAATTTGGTTAAAGTGAACCTCAAGGAAATATCTAAAAGGGCTGGTAGGACTGGGGAGCTGAATCAGAATGGTTCTTTTCGATTGCAGTGAATATACATTTAAGTGATTAAGTGAATACACATTTACTTTTCTCTCTCATGAAGAAGACCAGAGGTGAGCAGTCCATGGCTGGTGTTGTCACTAGAAACCCAGGCTCCTTCTCTCTTTCTGCTCCTCCATTCTGAGCATGAGACCCCTATCTTCAAGGTCACCCATGGTTGCCATGGCTTCCATGATCCAGAGGGCCTCAAGGAGCAAGGAGTAAGGGTAACTTGAAGTATATGCCACCTGCTGTCACCTTATTAAAGGAACCATGCAGGAAATCTAACCAAATTACTTCAAGTAACTTCTCATTGCTCAGATCTTAGGTGCATAGTCACACTTCGCTGTAAAAGAGTCTGGGAAGTGTCGTCTTTTATTTGGGCATGTTTCTGCTCAAATAAAACATGATCTTTGTTCAAAAAATGAAAAGTAGAACTACCATATGATCCAGCAATTCCACTTCTGGGTATTTATCTAAAGAAAACAAAAACACTAACTTGAAAAGATATATGCACCCCTATGTTCATTGCAGCATTATTTACAATAGTCAAGATATGGAAACAACCTAAGTGTCCATTGATGGATGAGTGGTAAAGAAAATGCAGTGTGTATATGTACAATGGGATATTATTCAGCTATAAAAAATAAGGAAATCTTGTCATTTATGACAAGGTGGATGGACCTTAAAGACATCACACTAAGTGAAATAAGTCAGACAGAGAAAGGCAAATACCACATGATTTCACTTATATGTGGAATCTAAAAAAAAAAAACCAAGCTTATAGATACAGAGAACAGATTGGCGATCACCAGAAGTAGAGGGTGGAAGGTGAGTGAACTGGGTGAAAGAGGTCAAAGGTGCAAACTTCCAGTTATAAAATAAATAAGTCCTGGGGATTTAATGTACAGCATGGTGACTACAGTTAATAATAGTGTATTGCATACTTGAAAGTTGCTAAGAGAGTAGATCTTAAAAGTTCTCATTATAAGAAAAAAATCTGTAACTATGTGTGATGACGGACGTTAACTAGACTTATTGTGGTGATCATTTTGCAATATATTCTCAATATTAACTCATTATGTTATACATTTGAGACTAATGTTATATGTCAATTATATCTCTATGTCTATATATCTAAAAAATTAATGAGGAAGAAATTAAACAAAAACCAAAACCAGATCTTTGTTACTAAAGAACAAGGGAAAATGGCTAGTGGGTGGACATCTGCGATCCCTGCCACAGGGCGTTCTAGGCAACCTAAGTGTGTAGCACCCTCAGGTCTCTTGAAGGTCTCGGGAGTCTCACTGGAAATCAGTTTATTCTCTGTGTCCTCTGAATATTTTCAGGTATAAGCTTAGTTCCACCCCCTAAAAATCTACGTATAAGTTCGCCACGGACCAATGTTTTCTAAGGGTTCTCATTTACCCTTCCTGAGTACTTCCTCCTGGCCGCCTCAAATATGTGCAACTGCTTTAAAAAGAGAGGCCTCTGAAGATGCTTAGGAATCAGACAAGTCCTGTGTGTGTGAGGACTTGGAGATGAGGTCACGCTTCTGCACTGGGGTGTTCTCTGACACCAGTCTGACAGGAAGCATAGTGTGGGTGGGGCGACATCAGAAGTCCTGGCTCCCCACCAGCAAGGGCGCCACTGCTGCTCTCCCAAGCCTCCTGGCAGTCTCGCAGCCATGGCAGAGCACTGAGCTGTGGGTAAAAGGCCCCAGCCCTTTCTTGAGCTTGGAGTTTTAAGTGCTGTTACAGGCTCTTCTAATAGGTGGCAGGGGAAGGAAACATCTGAAAACAGGTGGCACAAGTTCAGGGCGTGAGACCTTCCATTTTATCCCTTTTATATCGACTTTCACGTCGTTTCCATCTCATCTCTCTTTACATAAGTGATGGCACTGTCAGGGAGCCCATGGAATCCCCTTCACCTGAATTTGAACGGTCACTGACTTCTATTCTCAGCCTCAATTAAGTTTCCTTTTAAAGCCTATGGTCTGGCAGGTCCCGAGTTGGTGGCTGGGCACGGAATGAATGAGGATGTTCTACTGATCCTGGGCCATCCACACCTGTAATGTGTTAGATGAAGGCCGCTCATATTGACTCAGTTAGGAAGAGCTGACTTCCTCTTGTCCTTCTGCACAGATAAATTTTTCCGTGAAGGCTGTGCCCCTGGGTATAGGCGAAATTCCACCCTCTGCAATCTGTGTATTGGCTCGGCAAGTGGTCCAGGAAGGGAGTGTGAACCCAACAACCATGAGAGATACTATGGTTACACAGGGGCTTTCAGGTGAGTCTTATAATCCTGATACAAATACAATAATAACCCCAGCCCTGCAAGATTCCTTTTTAGGAATTAAGGTGAAATTCTTATGTTCCTAGGCTGTTAGTCCTGCGTGTGTTACAGTATCACATTTAGCAAACATATGTAAAGCCCTGTGTAAAGGGCCATCCAGGCCCCCCCAGGATACTGTCTCCACACCTAGCTGTCATAGACAGCAAAGACCGGCAGTTGGGTGCAGATTAGAAGTTCTCAACAGAGGGTGCTTTGCCCTCCAGGGCACATTTGGCAGTATCTGGAGATGTTTTTGCTTATCCAACGGGGTTGGGAAGGGGAGGGTGCTACTGGCATCTAATTGGTGGAGGCTGCTAAACATCTTGCACACATAGGATAGCACCCTATAACAAAGAATTATCTGGCTCAAAATGTCACCAGTACCAACACAGGAAACCCTCCTGTAGTTGAATACAGGAGTCAGGAGTCTGGCTCATGCCCTTCCATGCACTTCTGGGGAACCTACAACCATACTCATCTGGAAATATACAAAAATAAAGTACATGATTTCTACATTCCCAACTACAATCCTATTTCATGGGGTGTTTATCATTTTTATAGAGTCACCTATGCCCCTCATGACCTTACTACTTTTTAACTATCCTTCTGATTCAAGCCTGTGTTACTTAGTAGTTCATGAATCCATCAATTACACAGTGATGGTGGTATTGTAACTGAACTTCTCAGTAGGGAAGGAAAAAACAAATTATCCCAATTCTCCAGTTAGAACCAACTTGTGAGTTAGAGTAAGTACAATTCGCAGTCCACAAGTTTACAGTTTTACAAAGTAGAGTGTGAGTAAGGAATCGCCTTGTTGGAAAAAGGTGACCTCTAATGTCAGCATTGATGCTAGGAGAATGATGCAGCTCTGCTGGAGAAACTGCTGAATTTAGAATTTACTGTGTGGAACTGAGATTGTATAACTACAAAGCAAATCAGAGGTTTTGTTTTCTTTTTCTTTATTACTTACATTAGTAATACGTAAGATTAGTGATAATAGTAGATTAGTGATAGAATGGGAGTCACAATTGCTGATCTCAGATGGCCAGCCCTGGATCTATAAGATGGCCCTCCTGAATGGCAAATGTGTCTCTCTGACCTCCTTTCTTCTCTCTGTCTCTCTGGCATTCTGCAGGTGTCTGGTTGAGAAGGGAGATGTGGCCTTTGTGAAACACCAGACTGTCGAACAGAACACTGATGGTACGTGCATATGCTCCTCTGTCCCCATAAATGGGGGTTGCTGGGTTCACTTGTGTTCAGGATGCCTTTGTGGAAGTGTTATGGACTCGGTCAGGCTCCAGAGCTCTGATTCTCAACCTTTTTGTTTAGTGAAGACAGAAGTCTTCACCTGGGTAGGCAGAACGCTAAGGACCATGAGGTTCCAGTGGCCCTGAATTCTCTCCCAGGAACCCACCCACCCCCACAGGTACAGGCATTGTTCCTTAAATACTTCAGTGCACATTTCCTAAGAACAAGGACACTCTCTCACATACCTACATTATAGTTAGTGAGACCAGGAAATTTATATTAGCGTGGAATTAGGACTCATCATGTCCACAGTCCATATTCAAATGTTGTCAATCATTCCAAAATGTCCTTCATAACTATTTCCTATATTTCTTGGCACTGTCCACTGAGAAGACCTAGAGACAGTGGCACACCAGTAGGAATGAGCACCAATATCTTGGCTTCTAGAACCATTCTCCAATAGAAGGAACCAGGGCCCCTTGGAAAAATAGCTGATTCTTGGGCTGGAGCAGGAAACATATAAGATGAACCTGGAACATCATGCTGAAGTGCTCAGAGTGATGGGACATGTCAAAGCACACGGGAACCATTTTGAAGGACCTCCCACTGGCCAAATCTGGGACATTTTGAATGTTAAAAGAAATAAAATAGTAATAAGAGATAATAACCTATTGCATAAACTAAGAACACAGGAGTCCATCCTGATTATACTAATGAAGATAAAGGGAAAGATCTGTCTTATCATAGAACGCTAACTAATAAACATAGAAATAAAGTTAAAAAACTATCATTTGGCAACCAACATAATAATAATTGATTCAGGCAAGAATCATCAATGGGTACTAAAACTAGTGGGTGAATAGTGGATGACTATGACGTTAAAAAACAAAACAAAAATTTTAAAAATGTTGGTAAGAATGAGCTCTCCACATGCCCCCTCTGTGTCACTAAGTGCTTATAGGACCTGCTACGTCCAAGCAGTTATTACTTCCCTTCCTTCCCTCAATGTCCCTTCACCCAGCCTCAGATCTTTCCAGCAACTCATCTAGAATGAACTAGCTCAGCACCAGCTCCTCCAAGAAGCCTTCTCAGATGGCACACCGGCTTCCCACAACAGAATCCTGTGTCCATATTGCTATTATTATTGAATTCATCAATTCTTTAATAAATCGTGGCCACAGAAACTTTTTGAGTTCTTTTTTACTCCTCTTATAGCCCAACACCAACTAGAGTATGTGGCACACAAAAGTTCCTAAGTACTTGCTTGAAGGAACATTGTTTTGGCTAATTTTTCTTTCTTTCCTCCTACCGTTTTTGCTTTTTCCTTTAAGGGCGGTCCTTTTTCCTGCTACCTGGGTGTTACTCTAAGACTGGTTCCTTGTCACCTCTTGATTTCTTTCTGTACTCTTCTGAGTAGGGCTCCTCTCTCTAGGCCTCAACTCTCCACTCTTTGCAATGACTCCAAAAGTCTTACCTCCTGAGGGAATTTAGAGAGGAGGCCTACTCTCCCATCTAAATAATATCCCACGGTCTCTATTTGCCACATGGTTATTTTTTATGTACAAAGTACACTGGCATTGCAAATTCAACCTATATAAATTCAAACTCCTCAGATTTCTCTCAAAATCCAGTCCTCTTCCCACAGCCTCTGTCCCTAGTGAGGACTTTATTATATGCCCTGCTAATCAAGCCTAGATTAGTTTCTCAATGTGTTTTTGTTTCTTCAAAATATGTCTTCATTAAATTCTATGGTGTTGTGATATAGAAGAATCAGGATACCAAAGCATGTGGACTGTATGATCTAATTATGTGGATATGTGTCTGCATATCCTATGTATATAGAAAAAAGACTAGAAGAAATGCCACAGTGTTGAAAGTAGATGCTGTGGGATTATAAGTGTTGCAAAATTTTCTTCCTTATACTATGTAGCATTTTACAAATTAGCCACGATAAATAAGCATTACTTTTATTGCAAAGAAAAATTTTTATCATGTGCTTCTAGATGCCCACTGCTACCCTCCTAACGCAGACTGAATCACCTTCCATCTCATTTGTCTTCATTGTCCTATTTCAGGCCCTGGCTCACAAATTAACATTGATTTCCATTTATAAGTCCTCACAGACCCACTTTTTCTCCTGCTTAACCTCTGCACTCCATCCCACACTAAAAAGTGCCTGGCCAGCCCTCACATGTTCAGCCAAATTGCCTGAGACTGTTCCAGTGGGGCTGTTCTCCTCTCCCCCATTAGAAACACCAGGCAGGCACCTGTTCCTCAGTCTTGCCAATGCCCTCCATCTTGCCAGTGCCCTCCGTCCTCCCGCAGAGAGGCATTCCTTTCTCCCCCTCTCAGTCCTGCACATGTTACAAGACACACCTAAAACCCTGCCTCCTCCTGACAGCTTTCCCTAACTAATGTGCTCTCATTGTGCTGCTTCTGAGCTCACACAGCATTTAGAGTGTGTTCCACAAAATATAAAATATTATTCTGTGCCCTGAATTTTTGCTTTTGGTACATGTGCTATTTCCCCCCTTCAATAAGATTGTGTCTTGCAGAGGGCTGAGAAAATAGTATTGAATAAATGCTTAAATTACTAAGTAGAACAGGATGGGTTTGGAGAGAATGATGATGGGTTTTATTTGGAAAGTGTTGAGTTGGAGGGGTTGGTGAAAAAGGAAAGGAGAAATGTTAGAAGGTGAACGAAAGTGTGTGCAGTGACTGGTGGGAAAGAAACAGGCAATTTGGAGTTTTCTATTAAAACTAAAAGTGTACATTTGGGGAATGTAGTTACTTTATATGCAGATAACATAAAAATCTTATGATAGTGAATTCCTGTATTTATTGTTCAATTAAGTGAAGAAAATTGAATCAAAATTAAGAAAAAGATTGCCATCCTGCATTTTAGGGGAGAAGTAAAACTTGGAAAACACGAGAATTACCTCAGGATGAAGGAGATGAAATCCTGAGAATGGGTGAGATTTTCTTTTTCAGAGAGAATACAGAGAAGATGAAGCTAGGGGCTGAGACAGGATACAGACCTGTGCACACAGAGACATATGCACGTTTCCATGTAGAACTAGGACAAGTGAGTCAGATTTAAAACACTGGCACCATTTCCAAAAGGGCCTCTGGGGAAAAGTTCTTTTGCTTGGTGGTACCAGATGGTATAGCACAGAGATTGTCAACTAGCTTAGAGGGTCGTGTTCACCCTACACTAGAGCAAGACGTCCAGATGCTTTGGAATCTAGTAGAAATGAAGATCTTTTTGAACATCGTCCCCAGAGTATAGTTCACTCTCCCGTGGCTGAGTGGGGCAGGTTGGAAGGGGCAGTCATTAGGAACTCCAGGTGAGTTTCGGCTTCTCCACATAACTGTAAACCCAGTGTGCGCACTTCTGCTGGCCACTGGGTCCAGGCCCTCCACACACTAGTGGGTCGGTCAGTCACATCCCCCAGTGAGAGTGCCTTGACCAAAGCCATCAGCTGTGGGTGACCCATCTTCTCTGCCCCCAGGATGTAACCCTGACGATTGGGCTAAGGATCTGAAGAGTGAAAACTTTAAGCTGCTATGTCCTGATGGCACTAGGAAGTCTGTGACTGAATTTGAGAGCTGCTACCTAGCCCGAGCCCCGAATCATGCTGTAGTCTCACGGAAAGAAAAGGCAGCTTGTGTTTGCCAGGAGTTACACAACCAGCAGGTATGGACCAGCAAGGGCCGCCTACCTTCTCTTCTCGGGTGGTGTGGATGATTCGGGGGAGTTCAGGGCTAAGTGCAGCCCATACTCCAGCATTCTCTTTCTGGGAACTGGAATCTGGAGGCCGTGGATTGTGGAACCGGATCTCCTAGGCCTGGCTCTGCTGTATCTCCTGGTCACTGGAGATTAGTCCCCATCCGATCTGCATTTCCTCAGGTCCAAGAATCTCCCTTCCTGCTTGCCCCTGACCTTGCTCTTTGGTACCCTCATTTTCCCCCACTGCTGCCTTTTTTTAAATGAAGGAGACTGATCCTGTTCCCGGCCATCCTTGATACAAGTCATGAAATGCAGATTTGTGTTTCTTTTGCTTAGGAAGACTGGGTATCATTCCAACATCCAGAAAAATCCAGGACCCCTACACTCAGGGAGTTTGTCCTGTGGGGAGAACAGTCAACCCAGGGCTTGCCTTGTTGGGGAAAGGGGCTGCCTGAGTATTCTAATCCTAAAGGCTCCTCTCCCCACAAATACCACCTTCCCCTCAGCAAGAGCTTCCTGCCTGTTGATTCACCATTAGTTTGCTTTTTTAAAAATTAAGATTGTATATCTTTGCAAGTCCTCTTAAGGTAAATGATAAGGATAATTAGCATTTAATGCACATTTCCTAGGTGCTAAATGGAATGCCAAAATTTTTGTAATCCTCATTTCACTTATAATCTTCAGAAGCCTGGAGTAGTCAAGCCTCTTGCCCGAGATAGGATCAAAGACTCAGTCAAACATGAACTTCTAACAACTACCTGTATCACCCCTCACTGGACAGCTCCCAGTTAATATCTTCTTCAAAATAACACTTGGAAGGGATTTGTGTCTGTCCTCTCATTTCCTGTAGGCAGCCCCCAAGGGATATGCCAATCAGTGGGGAAGACAGATCAGAAAAGTCAGGAGTTGGGGGGACCAGGATGAACCTACAGAGTACTTTGAGGCCTTAGGAAAGCATGGAGCTGGGGCCAAAAATGGGCGAATGCCAGGCAAGGGATGTGGAAAGATCCTGAGGCATCTTCTGCAGCTTCGCTTTCTTCCCAGGGCTGATTCCCAGCTTCCAGCCTCCTCCATCCCATCCTTGTGTTCCCAGCTGTTCACTGCCACAGGTCCTCATGCACTTTCTGTCCATTTGACAGGCTTCGTATGGAAAAAATGGAAGTCACTGCCCAGACAAGTTTTGTTTGTTCCAGTCAGCCACCAAGGACCTTCTGTTCAGGGATGACACACAATGTTTGGCCAACCTTCAGCCCACAACAACATATAAAACCTACTTAGGAGAAAAGTATCTCACGGCGGTGGCTAACCTGAGACAGTGCTCAACCTCGAGTGAGTAGGAGGAACAGCAATGGGGGAAGCTGCAAAGCAAACACAGTTGGGGTTCTGGGTGGTGGGTACAAAAGGAAGAGTGGGCTGTAGCCCCCAGGAGATGATCAATGGACAAGATGAGGGAACAATGTAATCTCAGCATGTATGAAAGGCTACTTGTATGGGCAGATGATAAGGTGGACACAGGCTCAGGCTCAGGGCACTGAGGTAGTGATCTACCTGGACTGGCAGAATTCCATGTTATTACTAAGAAAAGGAAGAGGTTTACGTGCACATGCCCATTGTTTTGCAATAAACTCCTTTTTATACCGAGCTGTGTTATCCAACATGGTAGCCTGTAGCTACATGCGGCTATTTAAATTTAAATTAATTAAAATTAAACAAAATAAAAAATTTAGATCCTCAGTCATACCAGCCACAATTCAAGTGCTCAGTAGCTACTTGTGGCTCCATATAGGCGAGCAAAGAGAACATTTCCCTCATCGCAGAAAGTTCTTTTATACAGCACCGCTCTTGAGAGCTTGAACAATGGTAATTAATGGTAAGTTTTGGTAACTATAAAGTTGCCATACATACTACTCATCTAGAACACCAGCTTTATAAGCATTAAAATAGAACAAAACACACTTTTGCACTATAACTATGTTGGATATCATTTAACACTTGAAATCATTTGGAAGATGTGGGAGAATAATATATGGATGGAAGGTGGTTGGTTATTCTTCAACTTTTGTGTGCATGTAAGTGAGCCATGGTCCTTAAAATACTGATTCCCAGGCCCCAGGGATACTGATGCAGCAAGTCTGTGTCAGGGTCAGAGTTTCTGCATTTTAACAGCTGCCCCACATAATTCCCATGTAATGAACATGCTTGTCCATGGCCACTCTTGTGAGCACCCAGGTTATATTTACCTCACCTATATCCTCCGTGAGGGTTTGAGAAAGTCTGGGTCTGCTCTTCTCTGCTCCCTGCTCCATTCCCAGCCCCTAGCACAGAAACTGGCATGTGCCAGGTGCTTAGTGCATCTTGTTATGTTAGTTCCTCACCTGCCTAAAGAGCTCAGAGAGGACATGCCTCCCAGGCTCCTTCCAGCCACAAGGACTCAGGTGTGAGAGTCCTGCCTATAAGACACAAGGTGGGAGATCATACAGGGCAGGGAAATCATGTTACCATCCTTGGTGCACGGCAGTGCCTGGAAAGGGACAGGAGCTCAGCCGGCAAGAGAAGGCCGCTGGGGGGATGGCTGGTACACCCATCAGGAGAGCAGGGTCTGAGCGCTTTTGTATCAAGCTTAACTGTTCGTTCACTCAACAGAAAATAAACATAAGTAGATTCTGACTGTCCTACCTCTCTGCTGTGCTCCACAGGACTGCTGGAAGCCTGCACTTTCCACAGAGTTTAAAGCCCAAGAGGTGGGGTCACCACCAGATGGAGATGGGAGCTCACGTGACCCATAAGCTTCCCTCTGCTCTCACTGGCCTGAGTGGTTTGTCTGCCTTCACAGTTTGGTGGTGGCACCTCTGCAGAACATAAAATAAAAATTATTGTTGGTTTTATCTTTTACAAACTTCATTCTTTCCTAAATGTTGGAGCTGGAAGGATTTCTTTTATACTGACTAAATACACAGGCAACTGAGCCCTTCCTTCTGAGCTCAAGATTCATCTCGTCTTTCCCACAGCTTTGGTTGTGGCGACACAGCCACATCTCCTGGGTACAAGCCACATAGGAGTTCTTTCTAAAAGGGGTCTGCGTGGTCATTATAATAGAATCAAGTCTTTATGGCTGTGTGTGTGCATGTGCGTGTGCGTGTGTGTGCGCGTTGCTAGAGAAGGGGCAGGAAGGAGTGAGTGAGTTATTGAGATGGAGTGTTCAAGGAAGTACAGGAAAAGAATGTGGAAGATTTATATATTTTTAAAATATTTTAAATGAATTTTATCAGATATACTTGAGGTCCGGATTCTAACTGGTTGGAAAAGTGAATCACTGGAACACCTTCTCACTAAAACTCAATCCTGACCCCGATTCCCACGGCATCCCTGCCCTGTCTCCTTGCCTTCTCCGTCGAGCCCCTGAAAAGTGGAGGCTCACTCTTTCCACGCCTCACCTCTTAGTGATGACTGAGCACATGGAAATCCGTCTCCTGCTCCACTCACTTCCCTGCAGCTATCCTGGCCAAGGTCGCTGCCCACTTGCCAACTGTGAAAAACAATTTTAGTTCGTTCATTCCTGAGTCTGTTTACTGCACTTGATACAGCGGACTACTCACTCTTCCTTGCAACTCTCCTCAACGTCTCTGACATGGTAGCTCTCTGCTTTGGCTCCTACCTCTCTCTGTCCATTTGTGGTCTTACTGTGGGCTCATCCTGCCAGCCCTGAAATTGTAGGGAAATCTTCCTGGGGTTCTTCTCTTGATCCAGTGCTCTTCTCACTCTCCAGGCCTTCCCTAAGCAATGCAAATGGCTGCTGGGCATCAACATCTATATCTATAGTTCTAACCCCTGCCTCCAGCGTCCCCACACTCATACCTCCTCCTGCCTGTGCATCTATACTGTAGAGTGCTCAGAGCAATCAGAAGTCCAACAAATCGAACACTGAAGTGGTCATCCTGCCCCTTCCCTCTTCTGCTTCCCTAATCCAACTGTCGTTTCCACATATTTCACATCAGCTAAAGATATGATCTTCTGTCCACTCACAGGAGCCATAAATCAAGGAGCCAAATTTCAATTTACTGTTTTCCCTCACTCCACATCCAATGTCAGCAAGTTCTGTTGATTATGCCTTCTTAACAACTCTCCAGTTGGCCCCTTTATTTCCTAACTCCTACCACAGCTACAGTTTACACTCAGAGGCAGAGCTGCAGAGAGGGGGTTTCTGGACACAACAGTCCACATCTCTCTTAACTTTCTAGTATCCAAGGAAAGAGGACTCTGGGTCCACTTTGCAGTCAAGACCTAATGTTGACCTTTGTACACACAGCCATCCTTTGCTTTGAGCCTATCAACACTCTGCCTTATTTAATGTTCACCTAAACTCCCCCTTACCCCCAATCCTATAATAACTCGTTCTTTTCCTTTGTTTGGTGAGATGCCTCATGGTTCCTCTGGGGTTTGGTCTGTCTTGTTGCAATAAGTCAACAAACCTAATTTTGTCAGCAACGTACTGAGTACCTACCATGAGCCATGCACTCTTCTAGGGACTGCCAATACTCCAGTGCATCCTATAGTCCCTTAAAATAATTTCTGCTTATTTTTATTTATTCCTCTCTCTAGACTGCCTTCTTATCAGTATATATGTACACAGAAATGTCTGAAATAATGTTCACCAGATACTACTGGTATAAACCTTGAGGTGACTTGTGGCTTTCTTCTTTAATCTTTCACTATTGCTTGAGTTTTTAATATAATAAGCATGCCTCATTTTAATTCTTTTTTGTGTGTGTTAGCAAGATTGGCCCTGAGCTAACATATGCTGCCAATCTTCCTCTTTTCACTTGAGGAAGATGGGCCCTGAGCTAACGTCTGTGCCAAGCTTCCTCTGCTTTGTATATGGGATGCCGCCACAGCATGACTTGATGAGCAGTGTGTAGGTCCACACCCGGGATCCAAACCTGCGAACCCCAGGCCACTGAAGTGGAGCACATGAACTTAACCACAACATCACTGGGCTGGCCCCTTAATTCTTTAAAAAAAAAATATTTTCAAAGAAACAGAGTTAAAGAGAGAAGCCAGAGTAGGTAAATCACACGATTGGTGTCCTTAAGTCTGAGATAGGTTCTATCTATAGGATGGAACTATTGGGAACAGTAGAGGAGGGAAATACGTGTCTCGTGAATGAGACATTTTAATTAATGGAAGAGAAATGAAAATTGTCTGGCTATGTTTGTTTCGTCGTAACTCTCCATCCGCTATTTGAATCAGGGAGCGGAACCCTGTCAGCAAGCAGCAGTCAGTATCTGCATGTCCGTCCTCTGTCCTCTACATTCAGTCCCACAGAGCTCCTGGAAGCCTGTGGGGTCCGCGAGGTGGAGCTGTGAGAGGACAGGAAGCAGCTGATCCCATCCCATCCTGCCCTCATTCCTGGGAATGGCGGCCCCACCTTCTCACTTGAGTGTGGAAGGGCTGCACATTTCTTCTGCCTTCATAATACCCAGGAGAAAAATTGAAAAAAATATATATATATAACTGTGTCTTATTGAACACTTCTTTCATCATTCCCAAATTTCACCACCAAGGCAGCGCTTTTCATTGACACAGGTCTGACTAAAAATCCTTATATTAGGACAATTATGGTAAATGTTATCCATATCTGGTCCCACCTCCTTCCCTGCACTTTTAGTCCCTAACAAAGGAACTAATGGTTACTATAAAGAAGCTGTGTGTGTGTGTATGTATGTGTTTGGGTTGGTGGATACAGAGCAGGGGTCAAGACCACATAAGAAAGAAAAGAAATAGAATGTGGTAAGACTACTGCCAGTTTTGACAGTTTTAAGTGATAATGCTAATCTAAAATAAAGAAGTCAGTTTACTTACTTTAACCTCACATCCTAAACATCCTTCCTTAATCTGGAGTCCCTATTGCCTACCTTCTCAATGAAACCCCTGGTAAATGAATTGTACTAGGTGAGAACATACAGTTAAGCATAAAGGAGCCCAACTGCCTAGGATCAGTGGATAAAGTACTTAACCCCTGCCACAGTTTGCCCTCCATAAAATTGGGATAATAAGTCATTATGAGGATTAAACTAATTAATAAATCAAAAGTATTTAGAACAAAGGCTGGCACTAGCAAGCACTCATTCATGTTAGCAATTACCCTCATTCCCCACCCTCTACTCCACCTACCTCAGTCTTGCTTCCGCACCCATGCCTCACCCCCACCCTCACCCCGCTGTTCCCCTGAGCTCACTTTTCATTCTAGCCCTCATCATAGGAGCTCCTCTCATTACAAGAGATGCTGCTGACCACTTCCAGGACGTGTTTTACTCCTGTTTTGCTGACTCTTCCTTCTTAGGCTTCTTTGCGGGTTCCTATCTCCTTCTCACTCTTCATGCTCTCCATGATTTTAATGACCACTTGTTTATGTATGACTCCCAAATGAAAATCTAGCACCTATTGCTGAAACTTTACTTTTTTTTTTTTTGGAAGAGTGAGCCTGAGCTAACATCTGTTGCCAATCTTCCTCTTTTTTTCCTTTCTTTTTTTCTCCCCAAAGCCCCAGTACATAGTTGTATATCCTAGTTGTAAGTCATTCTAGTTCTATGTGGAATGCCACCACAGCATGGTGTGACTAGCAGTGCATAGGTCCGCGCCCAGGATCTGAACTGGTGAACCCAGGCCACCGAAGCAGAGCATGCAAACTTAACCACTTGGCCATGGGGCAGGCCTCCTGAAACTTTACTTTCGTTTACTATAGCACCCTCTTGACATAAGATTTCAGATTTCCCAGAGGCACTTGAAACCAATATATACAAAAGAGAGGCAAGTCTCATTCTGGGCATGTTCCCAGCTCCAAAGTCCCTCCGACCGAGTTCTCTAACTCACTTTATGCACTCTTATCTTGCCAGTAACCCCCACCAACTGCTTCAGATGCAGTCTTGATAACTCTCCTTCTCCTTAACTCAGCATGTCCAATTAATCACCACATCCTATATATTTTCCTTCTAAACATCTCTCAAATCTGTGCCCTCCTTTCCACATCTCCCTCTGTGCAGGGTTCAGACCGTGTGCATCTTTTGCCAAGACACTGCAACAGCCCCCAGCTGGTCTCCCTGCCTCCAGTCTTTTCTCTCTCATATCATAGTTCTCCACAGATCTGCCAATCATCTATGTCATCCCCAACTGAAACTTCTTATTGCCTTCTGGATTAAGTCAAGGTTCCTCAGCATAGCAGACAGTCCCATCAGGTCTGCTTCCTGCCAACCTTTCCTGCCGCTTCTGCCGAAATGACACTTGCCTAATGACAGAGACTGCAAACCGGTAGCCCCTAGGCTGGCCACGGCTGGCCGATGAGGTGTCTTATTATTTTTTCTTTTTCAAAGATTGGCACCTGGGCTAACAACTGTTGCTAATCTTTTTTTTTTTTTTTTTTTTTCCTGCTTTATCTCCCCAAACCCCCCTTGTACACAGTTGTATATCTTAGCTGCACGGCCTTCTAGTTGTGGGATGCGGGACGCCGCTTCAACGTGGCCTGACGAGGGGTGCCATGTCCGCGCCCAGGATCCGAACCCTGGGTCGCCGCAGCGGAGCGCGCGAACTTAACCACTCGGCCACGGAGCCGGCCCGAGGTGTCTTATTTGGGTCACAAGTTTTTGAATGTTTTCCATAACTTGCTGAAACTTGAAAAGTGAAAAATTTCCCATAAAACCTGTCTTTCAGCCTTCTCTGGAAAAACCTAAGAACTGGCCACCGTGGTCCCACGTATCTACCTAGCAGAGTGGTAGCTGCCCCCTTTCGGCAGGAATGACAACCATAGTTTTCAACAGACTACCCACGGCGCCGCCCGCCCCCGCCCCCCACCCTCCCCCCCCATTCAATTTCCTGGGTGCTTCCCTTCCCGTAGATAC